AATAGCCGAAGTCTGTCGCGTCCGTCTATCACTGACTGAGGTCAGCGCAACACTCCTTAGCAGCAAATTAATTCGATAACCGCGACGTCGTCAAAATTTGAGTGCCCAACTTCTTCGAGTCGAACCCAAAGAGTTCTACGCGGTAGGCATCCATGCTTTGCGTAACGAAAGGTGATGAGCCTGTGACACAGGTGAAGGAGATGGTTCAGGTTGATGTGCTTCATTATTGTTTTTATAATGAAAATAATTGATGATCGTAAACGGATTGACATTTAAATCTGGCCAACCTAATAAATCCGTTGGCATGCACTATGACTCCCTTAGGTCCCACGTATTTCTTGACGATAGTTTATACGATATTTCTTGACTGTCGACAACTGGCGAAGTTATCAGGCAGCTAAGAATGCGACAAAGAAGGCCGTTGCTGCCGCAAAAGCTGCCCACTTTGCCGATGTTAGCGAGAAGCTCGAGACGCGCGATGGTGAACGCTATGTTTATCGACTTGCCAAAGCCCGCCATCGCCAGTCCGAGGATATCGAGAAGTTTTTCGGCATCAATGACGAAAATGGTCACCTCCTGACGGACCGCAAGAAAGCAGTGAAGCGATGGCATGACTACTTCGAGAACATCTCAGCAGTAGAATTTGCTCATCCAGCAGTCCCTTATGTCCGCCAGTGCAAGGTCCTGTGCAGAAGAATAACCGTGGAGGAAACGGAAAGGGCTCTGAAGAAGATGAAGTCAGGAAAGCTACAGGTCCCGATGATTTGGCGGCCGACATATGGAAGTCAAAATGCTGGAATCCTGCAGAATGGTTGACCAAGTTTTTCAACCAGATCGTAGCAGAGAGAAAGGTGCCTGAGAGTTGGCAGCAGAGCACAACGATTCCGATTTGGAAGAAGAAAGGCACCCTGCTGACTGTACGAGCTATCCATCAACCAGTGTGGATTTGTGTCAGGCTGCGGCACCATCGATGCAATACATGCCGCTCGCCTTCTGCTGGAAAGACATCGCGAGAAAAAAAAGCCGTGCATCTTGCCTTCCTAGACTTGGAGAAGGCTTTCGATCGCGTTCCTCGAGAAGTTATATGGTATGCCTTTACGACAGCATGGCGTTCCTGAAGAGCTCATTGAGTGGGTGCGCATCCTTTACTCGAACTCAAAGAGCCGAGTGCAAACGGTGGCAGGTACTTCGATGGAATTCCCCATCTCGGTCGGTGTGCACCAAGGCTCTGCGCTTTCCCCACTCCTATTCATTGTCGTCATGGATGCCATTTCGCGAGATCTTCAGAAGCCGGCTCCATGGACGCTTCTTTATGCTGATGACGTGATGCTCGCAGCGAAGACAAACATCTGCTCGAGCAACAGGTGCAAACCTGGTCCGACCGTCTGGCTATGTTTGGGCTCAGGTTGAACGTGAAGAAGACAGAGTACTTGACCACCGATTCGAGTGAGCCAGGCTCTATTAAGATCAATGGCACTGAGCTCACACGTACAACATCATTCAAGTATCTTGGGTCGGCAATCGCGTCCGACGGCAGCCTGGATCTCTGAAGTAAATTCTCGCGTGAGTGCAGCTTGGTCCAAATGGCGCTCGATGACTGGCGTTCTCTGCGATAAGAAAATACCAGAGCGACTGAAATCTAAGATCTACAGAACCGTCATCCGACCAGTCGCCATTTACGGAGCAGAGTGCTGGCCCGTGACTAAAGAGGTTGAAGGCTCGTCTCAGTGTAATGGAGACAAAAATGCTGCGCTGGACTGCCGGGGTCACGCGTTTAGACCACATTCGCAACGATACCATCAGAAAGCGGTTCGGTGTGGCTCCCATCGCTGATAAGATGCGCGAAGCTCGCCTGAGGTGGTACGGTCACGTCCTTCGCGCTAATGATGAGATCGGTCTAGACTTTAACGTGCCAGGAAAGCGGCCAAGAGGACGCCCGAAGCAACGATGGCTTGATACGTTGCATGAGGATTTGAAATTAGTTGGCCTTCACCCCGATCAGGCACATAATCGGGAAAAGCGGTGTGACAGGAACATATATGGCGGGGGATAAAAAGTGATAAGGGCCGATAAGATATGATAAGAGGCGCCAAAACGCAAATTTCACGATATCCATAGCGCGCGTCCCAGCATCAGTGAGGCGTTGGTTCCAAGAAGTGATGTAGAGGGTAGGACGGGAACATGTTTGGTGAGGGACCCAAAGTGATAACGGCTGATAAAGGCGTGGTTGCGAGCGGAGCCAAACCGGTATACTATAATTTTTTGGTGCCTCTAACTGTTGTTCGTCTATTCCGAAAAGTTTCGAAACTGATGTAATTAGCAAGCAATTCAGTTTCTCCTGTACCGATCCCTTATCATTGCCCACGAAAACAAGCCTCCTAAAGTGCAGCACGCGTGGGTTGTTGACATATCAACAGAAAAACAAAAGTGCAACTGGAAAGAACAGTCGAAAACAGTTTTGAAACAGATGTGATTGGAAATCAAACTAGTGCACTCTTCGCCTGTGGCCGCATTGTGACGTGAATCCCGTCAAAACGGAGGCACCAGACTCGTTAAAGCGTCAAACGCTAATAACAAACGCTCCGATATTATTGAATAACCTTCACTGCAACATACCGTCAAAAGTGCCTGACGAGGTTGCTAAGCATCGAAACATATTGGCATTGGAAGGTTTTGAGATAATTCGGATTGCACAAGAATGCTGGGTTGTGAACAAAGCTTTCGCTCCCGACCCAAGACATGGTAAGCATGAAAACTGAGTTGGTTTGAAGATGGTGCCCCGGTAGCGTAACTTGTAGCGCACTTGCCCGGTAAGCGAGAGGTGCGGGTTCTAGTCCCGCCTGGGGCGAAAGTTTTGTTCACAACCCAGCATTCTTGTGAAACATTCGCAAGGCGAACTGCGGCCAAAAACAGCAGTTAAGCAATCAGAGACATTTTGGAGTTTCAGTGCCTGTCTACGTAATTTAGCAATTGATTTGGTGAATTTAATTTAAATTTATGCCTTTTTCTGTGAGAGGTGCTGTTGTACCAGGTCATCAAATAAGTTCGAAGGAATTCGAATTAATTCCTTCTGTCCATTTAAATATCTTTGGCGGCCGAAGTTTTAAGTGTTTTCAACACACGATTCCCGTTATTATGATTTCTACCAAAACCATCACTTCGCATTATCATTGGTGGAGTTGGCTTCTAAGTAGCATTACCTTTTCGCCTACTCATTCAAAGACTGCTCGATGTATCCCTCTTCCCGCTTGGTTTGTGCTCCTGCTTCACGAACGAGCTAGAAAACCAAAGTGAAAAGTCATGCCAGCCACGTATTTCCAGAATTTCGACGCTTATCAGAGGCCGATACGAGCGGCACTGCGCCAACAAGCACTCGCTTTGCGAACCTAGCACACGAGGCGACAGAAAGAGATCTCGAATAGCCAGAGCAGCAGTATAGCTGAATCAGCAGCAGCGGCTAGGAGGAGCACCACGCAGTCCTTATATCGCCCGCCAACATAAATTCTATTCACCGCCCCGACGCTGAAGCTTCTCTCTGCATCAACGCCATGATTGCGCAAGTCGGCACGCTTGCTTTGATCGACCACGTCCCTACCGTGCGGTCACTGAGAATCAAGATGCGACGTCCTCCAAGTCTTCTCCCAACTCGCTACGCCATTCATAGTAAAATAAATTCTTAAAGTACCACTATCGACAGATCGAGAGAGTCAGCCTGTTGCATCAATTAGCTCAGCTCTCCACCTCGCTTATTGCCCACACATGCAATGGCATCAGCTTTGGGAAATTAAAAGAAGATCCGCATACATCCGCCCCACCCTCGGATCCGTTTGGTCAACCAGGAAAATATACGAAACAGACGACTTCAAACGCACTTAAGAGATCGAGGGAAACCTCGAATTTGGCATGCCATCCTAATTCCCGGCCCCTACCATGACCGATAAATGACAGATAGAAGGATAAAGCATTGCCGTAATCATCGTTTGGAATCGTTTCTACGCATTCTACTTCCCTTTACAATTCGTAGTGTTGTTGAATGATGATTCTATAACAATGAGCTTCGGGCCGTTCCGATTTTTCAAGGTCTTAGTTTTTTTTACGCTCGCCAGCAAGTCTTTACGCATTACCGCGCCCGGAGGCAATGAAGGCTTGGTGCCCGGGCGACTTAACGACCAGATTTTGATCCCACAGAATCCGTCTGCGGTGTAAACGCCGCACTTCACTTCAACCACTTACGCCCAACCATGACGCTTTACCATGACGACACCTTCAGATTATAAGATGGCATGGAAACGTGGTAAAAAAAATTGCTAGTAAAACTGCAGTCGTCACTTCCACTGCGGGATAGAACGGAGATTCACCAACACCACCATCTAATCACAGCCAATTGTGAAGATCGACACGGACATGCTGGCCTCCGGTGCAGCTTCAAGGCCGATGTCAGACCTTGCGAATGCTGGTGCAATGCTCCTACCCAGCGATTCGTTAGCGAATCGTGGGGTAGGATCATAGCGTTGGCTACTGCAATTGCATTGGCGGTGACTCAACCTAGAACCTTATTTCGTGATTCTTAAAGAAGGGGTGTGGAGGAACAGCTTTGATAAGATTCGTATCGCTTGTTTTCTGATAGGCATCTCCCCTATATAAGCATGCGAACTGAATGATTCATTTTAGGTTTTTTTTGCCTGAATGAATCTTCCACTCCTACAGCTATCAGCAACAGAGTTGACACAATCACTGTATTTCGCCGTGCGCCTGGATCGACAAGTCGGCGTTTGAGCTAGAACAGTGAACTATGTCATTAGCACCAAACAACAGTCTTCTAAAGTGCAGTTCACTGAGTTTAGGGCATGTCGACAAAGGATTACCAACGAATGAAAGTGATTTGGAAAAAAATTTCAATAGGATCTTACGTGAACGCTATGAAATTGGTTTCACGTGTTTACAATCCACTGTACACGAATAAAAAGCAAGAGTGGTGAAGGATTCCGTCACAATCAAAAATGTGGCTCGTCCTCATATTGCTGTCTTTCCTTCTGGTGAATACTGGTGCACAGGATAAGAAATGTAAGTATGGCTACTGCTATCGGTACACGAAGCCGATCACACAGTTTTGCCCCCCTTACTGCTCCAATCTTCACTTCAGGAATTGGAAGCGATAATTTTTCAGATAGAAGATGCGGTAACTTAAAAGAACTGGAGATAGTCTTCTTGAGCTTCTTCTGGAAGGCTCATCCAAGTCTGGTAAATCTTCTTTTTACGAACACATGCTTGACACTAGAATTGAATTGCTGTCATGTACGCATAGTATTCTAGCCTCTAGTTTCGTGAGTCCTGCAGGTTGTTCGCGCCCGGATCGAATACTGTCGAAAGGTGCAAGACCCTTAACTTAAGGAGCAGTGGGAGCGTATTATCATGGGAGAAGTAGAAGCTGGTACATATCAGAAGCGTCTAGCTCATAGAAGAATTAACTTGTTTAGCGATGATTTTGCGCGATAACAGAGGTGTTTGACATTCATTTAGAGTTCTTGCGATTATGCCGTGGCACAACAAGGGGTGATTTCTTTCACATGGTGTAATTTCAATAATACAATTAATACAATTTTCAAGCCAATCTTCAGGACCTAAGCCTTTACCTTTATTTTCAGTATTGGGATACAAGCTTGGTAAAAAAGGCTGGGCAGGCATTGTGGATGCGGAAGGTTAATGTGCCACACACCATCAGTTTCAGAACTGGAAGGTTTGTTTGCTTCATCTTACTTCGACAGTTACGCCGTGCGCACTATTGCACGCATAACACCGTTCCGATTGCAATATGTGGCTGAGCAAACAAAGTTCTCAAATTTGCCACTACCCACTATCATTCAATCTGACTTTTTCAAAAGCCTCTGCCGAATCCTTTACGAGCTCCGTACCGTTCTAGAACCGGCTTATAGTGGTTTTCATTAGCAAATTCTACTTTTCCATTGCACGCCCACTCACCGTGCTTGGGGCTCTGCTCACCAGGGAAAGATGGAAGATCGAAGTGGTCGTTTGAGGCAGAATGCACGCTCATCGACTTTGAGCGCCTATTACAAATCCGACTTTCGGATTGCGGCGTTTTCTGTA